GCCTTTAATCCCAGCACCTGGGAGGCAGAGGCAGGAGTTCGAGGCCAGCCTGGTCTACAAGAGCTAGTTCTAGGACAGGCTCCAAAGCTACAGAGAAACCCTGTCTCAAAAAACAAAACTACAAAACACTGCCAGCCAGTCACTTTACTCTACAGCTAATTGTTAAGTATGGGTCCCGGTCAGGGCTGAGGGTGAACAGAGGATGGGTCTCCTATTAGTGCCCATTCCCTAGCACCCCAATTCCCCAGGCATATAAACAAAACCCTGATGTGGGAGTGTCATATCAATCTGTTGATTTCATTGGTTGAGCAATAAAAAACTGCTTGGCTGGCCCTGATAGGTTAAAGCATTGGTGGGAGGAGTAAACAGAATAGAATTCTGGGAGGAAGAGGAAGTGAGGTCAGACCCGACAGCTCTGCTCTCTGGAGCAGAGACGCCATGCTCAGCTCTCCCAGGCAGCTCTGACCCAGATGGACGGAGACTAGAATCTTCCCGGTAAGCGCACCTTGGGGTGCTTACACACATTACTAGAAATGGGCTAGTCCAGGTGCGAGAGTTAGCCGAGAAGAGGCTAGATAGAAATGGGCCAAGCGGTGTTTAAATGAATATAGTTTGTGTGTTGTTATTTCAGGCATGAGCTAGCAGGCGGCTGGGGTGCTGGGGACGCAGCCCCGCCGCTCTTATTTCAACAAAACCCCAAGTAATAGGGTACATCCAGGAGACTAGCCAACATTTTTTTTTTTTAAATGTCTCACCGTGTAATCTTGGCTAGTTTGGAACTTGCAATGTAGACTAGGTTAACCTCAAAAAAATCAGAGACCCTGACTCCTGAGTGCTGGGGTTGAAGGTGTGGGCCAACCTGAAGTAAAGATGAGGGAAGAACATCATCTCTGCACTGGGAGCGCAGAGGGAAGGAAGGCTTCTCCTGGGTACTCGGGACAGCCAGGACAGGTGGTACAGACACAGAGACAGGCTCTTTATAAAAAACCAAGAGAACCCTGGGATGAACTTTATTGCTGAGGGGCGCAGCTCTCCCTCACTGCACCTTGGTCTCTCCAGTGGTCCAAAGCCCCTCCACAGGATAACACAGTGCTTAGGCTCTGCTGGGTCTCCACCCCGCCCCAGCCCGGCCCTTCCCACTCCCACCCACCCTATTGCACATCATTATGTAAACAAGGCTTCAGGCATGGCCTGGAACAGGATTGAGGCAGATTGATGTGTAAACGGATTTGGGACCAGGAACTAGAGCCAGTCCCCCAGCTCACCTCGTGCTGAGGCCACAGCTGTGTCTGAAAAGGCAGGAGGCCGGTCCCAAACTCTGGCTCAGATTATACAGCAGTCAGGTGGTTCAGTTCCCTCCTCCACCCACCCTCTCAGATTCCCGGTCCTGAGGTCCAACCACCCTGGCTTGCCTCCAGGACTAGGCAGTGTCCAGTTTTCTCCTTCTCAACCCCTAGCAGGAGGTCACTGGTGCTGTTTCTTCCTGGATGCCCGGGGAAAACCAGAGACAGGCAAGGGTAGCCTGTCCAGCCCTGGAAAAGAGAAGGCAAGGCGTCAGAAGTGGACATGGGTCTAGCTCCTCAGAGGTGAGGCAATCAGGGCATACACGGGGTAAATGAGACAGGTGATCTACAACTAGGTAGTGCGTTCTCTTCCCTGCTGGGGCTACCCTCGGTTCTGAATGAACTTCCCCAGCCCAGGCGTCTCACCCTCTTACCAAAGGCTCGGATCAGCTCTGCTCTCACAGCCGCAGTGAAGGTCTTCACCAGACAGAGTGTGGTGAGGCCAGCAAAGGCTGCATTATAAAGGAACACGATGTAGAAATTGCCCAGCCAGTTGAAGCGTCCAAAGTCACCCAGCAAGTCAAAGCGAGTCAGCCCTGAAGTACAAGATTTATAATGAGAAAGGGGAATCCCACAAAACTTCTCAAAGGAGCCCAACTTTCTGCTGCCCCCTGGTGGCCAAATCTGAACATCACATCGTCTAGCATGTATGTGTATGTATTATTACTCTCAAGCCCATTCCCAGGCCAGCTCAGGACTATTAAATGCAGCCGGGCGATGGTGGCGCACGCCTTTAATCCCAGCACTCGGGAGGCAGAGGCAGGCGGATCTCTGTGAGTTCGAGACCAGCCTGGTCTACAGAGCTAGTTCCAGGACAGGCTCCAAAGCTACAGAGAAACCCTGTCTCGAAAAACAAAACAAAACAAAACAAAACAAATCAGTAAATGCATCAGCAGCTAAATTTGCTCCTATTCCTCCTTCCAGAGACTCGAATCTTTTCCTTCAGCTGGATTGCCTCTAGCCCCGGGGACTTCTAGGAGTTCCCAGTATGGCAAGTGCTTTGAATCTAAGAATCTACAAGTTTGCTATTAAGTTTTCAGTAGTGTACAGTTTAGCAGCTAAGAAAGACTAAGCTGACTGAAAACTGTCATCACGCTGTTGTTTTGTTTTGAGACAGGGTTTCTCTGTGTAACAGCTCTAGCTGTCCTGGAACTAGCTCTTGTAGACCAGGCTGGCCTCAAACTCAGAGATCCACCTGCCTCTGCCTCCCAAGTGCTGGGATTAAAGGGGTGCGCCACCATCACCCAGTTTTTGTTTTTTTCAATTCCACTTCTAGATAGCTGGGTGATCACAGCAAGTTCCTTAAATGTTCTGGGCCTCAATTTTCTCAATTTTCAAACAGAGCAAACAAGGGGCTCTAACAGTTATGGCAAGCACACATTTCCTTGTTTTCCCAGGCACTGTTACAATCTCCCACGCCCCTTCTTTCCCTCCGTTGAGACAGTCTTCTGTGTTCCAGCAAGGCTGCATCATATGGCTGAGGATTTATAAGAACTTGTGATTCCCCCGCCTGGAGACAGGGTTTCTCTGTGTAACAGCTCTGGCTGTGCTGGAACTCAATCTGTAGACCAGGCTGGTCTCGAAATCAGAGATCTGCTTGCCTCTGCCTCCCAAGTGCTGGGATTAAAGGTGTGCACCACCATAGTCTGGCTCCTGCCCTCTTCTAGCCTCTTCTGGAGCCAGACACAGAAATGGTGCAGATAAACACGCACATAAAACAAAGGAAACCAAAAACGGACACCAAAAGCTAAGTACAGGCCTTTATGAAGCTACACTGTTTCCATCTATATGTGGGATAGCAGATCTTCACGGGTGTTTGTGGAAATTAGGGGGCATATCTAATTACAGAGCATTTTTCCTTTCTCTGTGTGTGTGTCCCTCTGTGTGCATGGGTGTGTGAGTGCCTATATGCAGAGGTCGAAGACAACTTGAAAGAGTTGGTTCTCTCCTCCCTTGTGGGCTCCAGGGACTGAACTCCAATCAACAGGCTTGATGGGGCTGGAGAGATGGCTCAGTAGTTAAGAGCACTTGTTGCCCTCACAGAGGGAGGACCTGGGTCAGCGCCCAGCAGCCACCAGTGCCTCACAATCACCCGTATCTCCACAGCGGAGGCATTTGACCACCTCCACAGGCACCATGCAGGCACGAGGTATGCAAACACACATACAGACAAAGCACTCATATACGCCTATGTAGCAAAGGCTTGGCTGACACCCCACAAAGCCCAGACTGGCCTTTAAACCTCTTTTTTTTAAATTGATATTAAGGCAAGCTCTACATTTTTCTCTGCTCCCCTCCCTGCCTCTCCCCTCCCCTTCAGCCCTCTCCCATGGTCCCCATGCTCCCAATTTACTCGGGAGATCTGGTCTTTTTCTACTTCCCCTGTTGTCTAAGTTCTCTGTGATTGTGGTTTACAGGCTGTAAATCTCTTTTTTGTTTGTTTGTTTGTTTGAGACAGGGTTTCTGTCTGTGTAGCTCTGGCTATCCTAGAACTCATGGAGATCCGCCTGCCTCTGCCTCCCGAGTGCTGGGATTAAAGGTGTACGCCACCACTGCTTGGCATAAACCTCATTTTCTAAAGCTGTGAAACAAGCCAATTCCCTTTCCTACCTTCAGTACTTACCAAGGGTTCGGGAGAAGACAGGAAGAGCTGAGCTTAGGACCAAGAGGCAGACACAATTCCCAATTATCTGGGTGAGAGAAAAGAAAGAAGAAGCAAGTCAGGCAGAGGCAGGCGGATGTCTGTGAGTTTGAGGCCAACCTGCTCTAAAGGAGCTAGTTCTAGGACAGCTAGGACTATTACAGAGAAACTCTGTCTGAAAACAACCCCCCAAAAAACCCAACCCCCCAAAACAAAACAAACAAACAAACAAAAAAAACCAAAAACAAACCAAACCAAAAAGTAAAGGAAAAAGAGGCAAAAGTAGCAAGAGTTGCCAGCACTCTCAGGAGGCAGAAGCAGGTGGCAGAACTCTGTGAGTTCGAGGCCAACCTGGTCAGGACAGCCAGGGCTATAGAGAGAAACCCTGCTGTGGGGGCGGGGTTGCCAACACCCAGCTCACCCATTCCCTAGGCTCTTCCTCGTCCCTCCCATACCTGTGTCATGGCTGTGTCGTGCCATCTGGGCCTCAGGCTTCGGAAGAGTGGAGAACTGTAGAAGCCCACGACTGAGGACACCATCAGGTAACCACAACTGGGTTAGGGAAGAGCTGGCCAACCTCTAAGAAGGACTGCCTGCCTCAGAGAAAGGACTCCTCAGACCCCTTTTCAAGGCTAAGCTTTTCTGTGTGGCGTGTGTCCGCTTGTATGCAGAGGCCACAGGTCAGGCTGGGCGTCTTCTCCGCTCATTACTAACTTTATTTACTGCTGTTGGGTCAGTTCTCATGCCACTGTGAGTTCCCAGGGACAGCACTCAGGTTCTCAGGCTTACACAGTGGGCACTTTTACCCACTCTGTGTATACGTGTGTGGGATGTGTGTACACGAATGTGGATGCCTGCAGAGGCCAGAAGAGGGCGTCAGATGCTCTGGAGCTGGACTTACAGAAGGTTGTAAGCTACACCCGCAACTGCTAAGTCCTCTCTCGGCCCTCCTGGCCATCTAGCAAGCCCACTATCTTACTATCTTTTGAGACAGGCTATTTCAAGCCTAGAACTTACCAGTTTGGCTATACTGGCTCTTGAACACACTACCTGGATCTTCCTGTCTCTGCCTCCCCAGCACTGGACTACAGGCAGATGCTCTGAACTGACTGAGTTATCTCCCCAGTCCTCAAGATCAGGTAATTTCCTTGTCTGAACCCCAGTTAGATGAAGATTTGCCCCTCCCTACCATTCCCCGCCCCAGCATTCCCAAGGAGTCTACTAGGAGGCAGGTTTGGTAAGCAGAAGCCACGGGGGTTTCCAGAAGGATACAAGATCAACACAACCTGGATGATGGCACCAAAGGATCCCAGTTTGGAGAAGGAGACCTGGCCCAGGGAGGCATCCTGTGGGGGTGGGGTGACATGATTGAGGGACATTCCCACTCTGAGTACCACCAGCCCCACCCAGTCTTCCCTCTGTCCTCAGCTTCTGTCTCCCTCTCCAACCTCCGCCCACGCTGTAGCCCAGTGTAGCCCATTCTGTACTGAAACTTGTGGCAATCCACCTGTTTCAGCCTCCTACGTGCTAGGGTAACAGGCACGTGACAGCACATCCAGCTTCCCTAGCCTTCCTTAAGCCCTCCCCAAAAGAAGCAGGAAGAGAGGCCTGTACCTGCATGCCCCGCGGCATGGCAGCCTCGTCAATGAGCAGCTCCAGGATGTGGATGGCCACGATCAGCACAGACAGGCCCTGTGAGGAGCAAGGTCATCAACTCCCATCATCCCTGCTCCAGCCCACAGCGTGCTCTGAGCTCAATGTTAGAGCATTCCCTTCAGTACAATGTTTTCAGCTGTAAGAGTACCTCTGCTTCCAAGCAGCTTTAGGGGCCTAGAGCTGCTGCTAGCAACACAGCACTTTGAGGAGACTACTGGATGAACTGCTTCCAACGGGTGCCTACACCAGCCTACCTACAGAGCACACTGTGGGCTGAGGAAGGCTCTGCAGAGCACTACACACACACACACACACACACACACACACACACACACACACTGAGGAAATGACCTAGGCAAAGGTACCGTTTCCCCTAAAATTATTCCTCAAGTCCTAATCCAGCACAGGAGAGACACGAGATTTCAACCTTTAGCCTCTTTCTGTGTACTTTCTCAATGACCTGTGTGACTTGGGGCAAGCAGGTTGTATTTCTCCATCCACAAGACGGGAATTAATGCTCTAAGCACAGGACGTAAAGCAGGCCCTCTGACAGGCAACTGCTGCTATGGATGACAACCACGTCGACGCACATCTCTGTCCTCCCTGAGGACCCACTTACACCCCGCCCCACCAAGGGGTGCTATGCTAGCAAACGCACCGTCAGCAACAGCAGACACAGCATGGCCAGAGGATAGCCCAGGTTCCGCTGCCAGGCTGAAGCCTTTCGCCGCTTTTCTGTGCAGGGGTGGGAGGTGGTTAGCGAGTACTTGAAACAAGGAACTACTCTCACCGGGAAAAGCACCAGTCCACATACCCAAGAGGACCCTCTGGGTCTGCAGAGCCAGGACCTGTCTGTGCAGCAGCTCCATGTCTAAAGGCAGCCAGCAGGAGGTGGGATCTGAGGGCAGAGAACACACTTCCCTTCAGTGCTTGCCAAGGCCAGTCCACCACCCAGGCAAAGGAGCGTTTAAACTCACTGCAGATTCTTCGAGTCAGAGCTGCCTCCTCAAACACTGAACAGTTCAGCTGTTCCTCCAGGTCTTCCAGTAACTGAGGGCAAGGGACAGGAGACTGTCAGAGGCTCTCTGACCCCAACAGCCCTCTACAGCCCCAGTCTTGGTCTAACTCTGCTTTACCACCCCATGCCCAGAAGCTTTGTCCTATTCCTTCCAATTCCTCGCGTTCTGACCAGCGCCAGATGATGGGGCAAAGGGCACGACGCCGACCAAGGGTCTGGCCTTCTGCGAGTTGTGCACAACACAACCGTGGGTTCATTTTGTGGCTTGGCCTCAGATGCAAAACATCCACCCTGTACAAAAAGCAAGGAGCACCACGTACCCGGGGCTTGACCAGCAACTTCCCAGTGACAGAGAACATGCGGGCGAGACCTAGTGGAGTGCACACTGTGGGGACAGGAGCATGTCAGTCACTCCCTCTCCCTCCCCAGCCCTCTCCTTCTACCCTGGCTGCTCTTTCCCTCCCCGACTCTGCACTCACCCAGGAGCAGGAGCACTCCGAGGAAGGAGATACAGGAGTAGAGGTAGGGGAGGTAGTACTCCCAGAAGTCTAAAGACAAGAAAAGCACGTCAGCTTGTCTTACTTCTCCTGATTCCTAGGAAGTGACAGGGCTCAGTCCACACAAGAACACAATGCAAACACCTCCAGGCTATAGGCAAGTAACTACTGCGGAGAGCTGGCCCAGGTTAGAAGTGGAGTGCTGGGCAAGCTAGAGATCCTCATTTATATGAAAGGCAGGCACAGCTGCTATCTGGCCCAGGGAAGCAGGGTTAAGTACAGTTAGAGCCTCAATTCTAAAATGGGAGGCTGGGTATGGTGGCACATGCCTGTAACCCCAGCAGAAGCAGGAGGTCGAGGCAGAAGATTTCAAAGCCAGCCTGGGTTTTACAGTGAACAATTGATTATCTAGGATTATCTATTATTTTATTTATTTCTTTATTATTAAAGATTTCTGTCTCTTCCCCACTGCCGCCTCCCCTTTCCCTTCCCTTCCCCCAACCAAGTCCCCCTCCCACAACAGCCCAAAGAGCAATCCAAACAACCAAGGCACCCACAAAACCAATAGGTGCAGTAGGATCAAAAACCCATTGCCATTGTTCTTGGGGTCTCAGTAGTCCTCATTGTCCGCTATGTTCAGTGAGACCGGTTTTAACCCAGGCCTTTTCAGACCCAGGCCAGCTGGCCTTGGTGAGTTCCCGATAGGACATCCCCATTGTCTCAGTGTGTGGGTGCACCCCTCGCGGTCCTGAGTTCCTTGCTTGTGCTCTCTCTCCTTCTGCTCCTTATTATCTATTATTTTTAACCAATGTCTATGCAGCTCTGGCTAGCCTTGAACTTACAGAGATCAACCTGCTTCAGTCTCCTGAATGCTGTAATTAAAATTACATGCTATCATCCTGGCTGATTATTTAGTTTCTAAAATCACTGCATGGACTCAGGGGAATATTTCTATATGTTAGATGTGTTCAAAGTCCATCAGTTTGGAACTTCAGTCTACAGAAATGATGCCAGTTTTTTCCACAGCTGATCAAATGCACATTGCCAACTCAAGAGCCAGCTTTTTTTTTCTTTTTAAGATAGAATCTTAGCTGGGTGATGGCAGCAAACACCTTTAATATCAGCACGTTAAGAGGCAGAAGCAAGTAGATCTCTGGGAGTTCGAGGACAGCCAGTTTCTTTGAGTAAACAAAGAAACACTGTGGGGTGGGGAGCCAGGCGGTATTGGCGCCTGCCTTTAATGGCAGCACAGGCGGATCTTTGGGAGTTCGAGGCCAGCCTGGTCCACAAGAGCTAGTTCTAAAACAGGCTCCAAAGCTACAGAGAAACCCTGCCTCAAAACAAAACAAATCTTCAAAAAAAAAAAAAAAGAGGAAAAAGCTGGAGCTCTATTAAGGTTTGGATACAAAATGGTCTTTCAAAATGTGAGCATTTAAGGCCTGATCTCTGTTACAGCGCGCAGAGGCGTGCTCTTAGGAAGTGACTAGAGCTAGAATTTTGGCCATCCACAGGTTTATAAACTTTGCTCCAGCACGTGCACCTTGCCATGAGGTTCTGTTTCACCACAGACTAAAGCCTCTGAACCCAGGACTGTTCCTCCTTTGAATCACAGTGACAGAAAGTTTAACTAACTCTCACCATAGAGCGACTCCCTGCTGGCCTTGTCATTATCTACAATGGCTGACGCCACCCACACCATGCCCAGCACAAGCAGAGTGAGGAGAATCAACATCACCACTGTCTCGTAGACCCGGCCCAGGACACCCTGCAGGAAGGATGAAGAAGCACAGGGGTCAACCACACATCAGAGCTGTGCCTGGGCTTGAGGCACCAAGGAGGTCTGGATTCAGTAGACAAGAGGGAGTGTTTCTCTCTAATTCTGAATCGCTCAGCTGCCTAGCGTCAAGGTCATTCCATATTCTGGGGATTCACTTGAAATCCCACCCTCCAATCATTCAGTCTCGTCTGCTCCAAGGAGACGGCCATGAGGTCAGCACCACACAGGCTCTCTGCTCTCTGCCTTGGGCACAGCCTGCCCATGCAGGAGTCAGCAGGGAAGTGCAAGGGGCGGAGCACGTCTGGGGCTTCCTATGCTTTCTCTCACCTTTGGCGTACTGGTTTCCAGCTGCAGCTACATAAGACAGTTAACTCTTCTGCTAAATGAGCTCCTATTCTCAATTTTAACTACCAGTGGTTCTAGAAATGCCCCACAGGCTTGGGGTCACAATGACTTCTCATGCTGCCACAGCCTCAGACTCCTTGTCCCATCCCTTAACTCTGACTGGTCTGCAATTTCTCCCTAGAGTATGCGTTCTGCTTCTGTCTTAGCTCTTATGTTTCCTCACCTTTCTGGAGCCAGCGAAGCCCTCAGACTCTGTGAAGAAATATGCAAAGGGCATAAGGAAAATGAGAGACAGGTTGGAGAAGAGAAAAACGAGGTTCCAAAGACCTAGAGCCAAAAAGGAAAAGCAGAGTTGGTCATTAAGGGGCCAATCAAGGTGGGCAACATGACTGATTAGCCCAAGGCTGCCTAATTACCTGCCCTGCTCCCTACCCCAAGCTCCAGTCCAGACCACATACCATGGATGAGGGAGCCGTTGAGCCACTGGATATAGTAGTTCCTTGGCAACGAGAGCAATACCTCATTGCTGATGATGGAGAAAGGCAAAAGTAAGACGGCACCCAGGGCGACTGCCAGGGTAAAGGTGCACAGCTCCAGCCTAAGAAGAGGAAGGGACAGGTCAGCCCAGCACTCGCTGCCCTATAAGCCCCACTTTCCCCCAAGACTTCTACTTCTAGAACCAGCAGGAGCAACAGGAGGGAGCTGTCCAGCTGGGCTCTGCCCACTGCCACCTCACCCTAGTCCTTACCTACAGAGTAGCCTAGGCAGCTGGGATAGACGCCACCTTAGGTAGTCATAGGCCCCTAATCACCAGCTATGTCACTTGTTTAGGCTATCCCAGGAATGCCATCTTCCCATCCATGCCTACAGGGCATGCCAGGAATGCTAACAAAGCAAGGACTTGGCTCCTCCTCTCTGCTTAGGGATACAGATTTCTGAGCTTGCCTTTTCTGTGTGGATAAGCGCTCAGTCTCCATATGGCTATGCCCTTTAAGAAGGCATTAGTGAGAGAATAAAGGCAAGCTAAAACCCAACTTCATAAGCAAGGCCTGTGCCATGGCTGCGCCAGCTGGAAACACATTCAGAAAAGGAGAGTCTGTCAGTCCAGAGGGGGCATCTCCATATTTCCTCTGTATGTGCTGTGGGTGAATGGGAACTGTCCATGGGGGCTGGAGAAATGGCTCAGCAGTTAAGAGCACTGACTGGTCTTCCTGAGGACCTGGGTTCAATTCCCAGCACCCACATGGCAGCTCACAGGTGTCGGTGACTCCAGGTCCAGGGGACTCAACATTCATGGCAAAACACAAATGTATATAAAATAAAAATAAATAAGATTTAAAAAAAAATATCCACGATAAGGGCCTTCCTCTAACAACCAATCACTTTGGTCTTCAGGGTGTTTTGTGTGTGTCTGTGTGTGTGGTGGTGGGGTATTCAAGACAGGGTTTCTCTGATCCCTCAGGGGTTTTTGATCTTCACCAAAGCCTGCCCTGTTTCCATTAGCCTGTCTCCCCCTTCCATTCCCCACCCACATTGACTGTTAGGAGGTGAAGCCAAGCTGAAGCCATTTCCTGGTGACTCAGGCCCCAGCCAATATCCACATCATGAAGCTCCTGGCCCAACCAGGGAGACAGGAACAGCAGCTTTTCTGAACATCCCAAGCAAGCATAGGGCAAAGCCAGAAGAAGCCAGAAATAGGGTGGAAGTAGGAACTCCTCTTTGATGAATGACGGCTCCTCCCGCTGCTGACTTTCTCGATCCCAGCGTCTAAAAGGCACTGGATTCGGGTGTTGAAGGTAGTGACACTCACGCAATCTTGTTAACTGTGGCATCTTCATCATCCACTGCAAGAGACAGACAGGAAGGGGACTCAGAAGGACATCAGTGGGAAGCTCTGGGAGCCAAACTTATGATAATGTGTCCCCTGTCCCCATCATTGAAGACAGTGCTGAGAAAGAGGCTCTGGGAGATCTTGCATTATAAACCTCACAACCTATTCCCCAACCAAGGCGGCAGCTTGATGATAGTGGTCCTAGGTACACAGAATAGAAGCCCCTAATTCCCATTCTCCCTCCTCCTCATCACTAACAGATTCCTCTTTAGAGAGGCTCAGACTGCAGTCTGTGAGGTTGTTCACATCAGTGGCTGGGTGAAGGGAAAAGAAACATGCACAGGGGGAAGATGGACTTCGCAGAGAAAAGCTCCGCAGGGGACAGCACTAATGCAGTGCTGGGCATGTTCCTCTAACCCATCGAGATCCATGGACCCAAAGCCACACTCCAAGAAAACTTAGCCTCTCTACAAAAAGAAAGACTACTGTCACCAAATCTCGGGAGGTGCCAGGTCCTTGTGGGGGAGCACTAGGAAGAAGATGGCACTCACCCTGCAGATACCTACTTCAGGTTCACAAACGGCTCTCACTTGGTCCTCCCAGTGACAAAGTACCAGGCGGACTAATTATGCCCAATTTGTAGGGTGAAACTGAGGTCAGAAAAGTTACATGGATGACGGGTAGCTTTAATCCTAGTACTTGGAGGCAGAGGCATGTGAATCTCATTGAGTTCGAGACCAGACTGGTCTACAAAGCAAGTTCCAGGAAAGCCAGGACTACACACAGAGAAATTCTGTCTCCAAAAAATAAATAAATAAATAAATAAATAAATAAATAAATAAATAAAAACTACATGGAGGGACTGGAGAGATGGCTCAGAGGTTAAGAGCACTGACTGCTCTTCCAGAGGTCATGAGTTCAATTCCCAGCAACCACATGATGGCTCACAACCATCTGTAATGAGATCTGGTGCCCTCTTCTGGTGTGTGTGAAGCAGAATGTTGTATACATAATAAATAAATAAATTTAAAAAAATGTTTAAAAAAAACTACATGGATAGGGATGAGGTAGCACAAGCCAATATACCTTGGGAGGTGGGAGGTAGAGACAGGAGTTCAAGGTCACCCTTAGCTATAAGGTGTTTAAAGCCAGCCAGGACTACATGAGATATTGTCTATAAAACAAAATAAAACCAAGAAAGGGGTACCTGATTTTGAAAATGCCACAATAAAACATTATTTTGTCATTATTTTGTCCTCTAACTTAAAATATATACAAATAAAGTAATTAAGTAACAAGAAAGAAATCAAAGCTTTTCCACCTATTTCTCTGCTTGTGGAAGGACGGGGCTGAGCAGCAAGGGTTTCAAACAGCCCAGCACAGCCACCGCTTCTTTCCCAACAGGCACCGTCACCCATTCCTCTGGGGCTCGCTCCATGGCAACTAGAACTCTGGCTGAAGGCAGGGAGGTCAAAAGTACCTGTGGTGAACTCAGCAGGCCTCTTGAAGCGGGTCAGGAAGATGTGGCAGAGGATGTAGAGTGTTGCAAACAGAAGTATTGAGATCTGTGCCAAAAAAAACAACCTGGAATGACATGTTCCATAGTTTCTAGCACATTCCACAGCCCCAAGGGTTCCATACATCCTGGGATTCTACATTGCTCACTGATGCCTTCCTTCTAGTTACAGCATGGGGGCTCCACGCAGGACCAAACAGAAGCTATCCCAAGTCCCTGGGAAACAGTGCCAACCAAGTCCCAGCACTTTGCTGGAGCCACAAGCTTCATCCATATCTTTAGAGGTGAACAGAGAAATGTCTAGAAATATATATACACATGCATACACATATCCTATACCCTAAAATCAGGCCATAGAACAAGAGAGACTGACTATACTGTGACAACATTCTGGGAAAGTAACAGGCTTGAGAAAAAGTTGTCTGCATTGTCTTCATATTCTTCTTACCCAGCTCCATTTGCAGTCATGAGAAAGTATACTCCATGAGCTGCTATGTCAGAATCATGTCTACCGAGCAAATCTGAACTTCTACTGTTTATTCGGAACCTGAAACATCAGGTCTGCTCTGTGGCAAACTAGAGCCCATTTAATTATCATTCAGCAAGGCTTTAGTCAGGCCCAACCTTTCCAGAGTTGGTTATCTGCCGCTTTAAAATCCTCAGGTTCTTCCACAAGTGACTTTCAACTCCAGGGCCAGGGCTCTTAGGACCTACCCATGGCCCTGAGTGGTTAGACAGGACAGAACTTGAACAGATTAATTAGTACGTGGGTTACATCTAGACACTTCCCCAAAGCCGGAGAATACAAAAAAAAAAAAAAAAGATGTCACTGCAGTTGAGGTAGGCAAAGACAAGATTAGTCTCCCATGTCTTCTAGTCTCCAAGAGGAACTGACCTTATAGGAAATCTGTTCAGTGACAAGGAGAGAAGACACTAAGAAGTCCTGAATCTGAAATACAGCTGTAGCTTTTGACTTAGGGAACCCCCATAGAAGCAGTCACCAAGACTGCAGCTGCATTTTTACAGCTGTGTTCTGTTCATTCTGCCCTGAACTTGCATAATACCCAAGAAGGTAGAAGAGCTTAAAAGGTCAGGCTTGGACTTCTACCCACTTCCAGTAGAGGCTAGATTGTTCTATTTTTTTTTTCTTTTTTTGAGACACGGTTTCTCTGTGTAGCCCTGGCTGGCCTGGAATTCACTCTGTAGACCAGGCAGGCTTCGAACTCAGAGATCCATCTGTCTCTACCTCCAGGGTACTAAAATTAAAGGCATGCGTCACCACCAGCATCCAGCCCAGGTTGTTTCTAACTTCTAGATGGAAGCCATGAGGAGGAGGTTCACGAGACCTTCAGGTGCCCTTGGCCGGTGCTGATGTCCTAAGGGCTCACCTGTCCAGGTGGTCAGTCTCTATACAGAGTCTCTAGGCCCAGATGTGCCTCCACGATATGCCCAATGCCCCAGTGAGGACCTTTCCACCAGGGACACACAAGGATGCTACTCTGATTGGGGCCCTACACCGGTACTTTCCAGTTCTCATTGATAAAGGCAGCCATCAGTATATCCTGTGTCCCTTTACCTTTTCTTCAATCCAAGCATGCCAAACCCTTCCATTCCTCCAAACCCTTCCCTTTTCTGCAGAGTTCTATGCAGAAACACCAGAGATGGTTCCTGCAGGCTATCCTGAAGGAATAAGAACTCGCTAGAGGGCGGTGGTGGCGCACTCCTTTAATCCCATCACTCGGGAGGCAGAGGCAGGTGGATCTCTACTGAGTTCGAGGCCAGCCTGGTCTCAAGGGGCTAGTTCCAGGACAGGCTCCAAAAGCTACAGAGAAACCCTGTCTCAAAAAGCCGAAGAAAAAAAAAAGGAACATGCTTGTGCTCAGGACTACTGCGGAGCCCCCAGAAGAACTCCCAGAATGGCTAGTATTCCAGTCTTCCAGGGTGTCAAATTATCAGGAAGTGTTGTGGGGTGTGCGTCACTGTGTTGGCTTGTGTTTGGCATGCTGCATGCCAAAGGCCCAGGGTTCAATCACAACACGAATGAAAACAAACCACCATCATTGAAGGGAAGAGAAAAATAGGCGCGGAAACTTAGGTGTCTCCCCATGTCCACATCTTACTAAGTCCACCTCGGACTAAGGACTTTCTTCCTTAGTGGGGGGACCCACCACATCCCCTACTCTTCCCTCGCGCCACCACTGCACGTCCCTAGTAAACTGCTTTGTGTGACCGGGTCTCGCTTCATCCCAACATCAACTACGATTGCCCTCCATCTACTATTAAGGGGAATACGCACATCAACTTGTCCCAAAGCAAACCCATCCATTTGTGGAGGATCAGACTTTTCCGCACAAGAGGACCCACCGCCAGGAACGCCCGCCGAGGAGGAGTCGAAGGGGGCGGGGGGAGGGGCGAGCAGCCGAGGAACGGAAACCCCGCGGCTTTGTTTACGACTCAGGGACCCAGCACACCCGACCCAGGAGTTCGCCATCCCGGCCCCGGCCCCCTCAAGGACTGAGGTGCTGGGAGCCCGGGCAGCAGGACTTCCTGTCTCCACCGCTGCCCGCGCCCCTCCCACCTCGGCCCGGCCGGCCCCTTCCCGCCCAGGTCCCGCACTCACGATGCACTCGCGGACCCGGTCGTGGAACAGCTGCTCTCGCACGGATAGCACTTCGTAGTCAGCTGCTTCCATACTCTGCTCAGCATGACTGGGGAGGGGCTGTCTCCGGGCCCGGGGAGGACGAGCGGGGATGAGGCCGCCGCCGCCCGCCAAGCACCCGGACCCAGCCTAGGAGCTGCTCCTCGCTGCCCGCGACGGAAACTCAAGGTAATCTGGGACTCAGATTCAGCCGTCGGACGCCCCGCCCTTAAAGGGGCCGGCCCCAGCCTGCCTTGTTTTAAAGGGCTCGGGTCCCCCGCGGCTCCCTCCCCTTTAAGGTGGGGTCACTCACAGTCACGTTTCAACGCAAGTACCCGCCGCCCAGCTACGCGGAAGCTCCCGGCTCGGTGCTATCCTTTTAAGAGGCCCGGTGACGACACAAGGTCTGGGCGGGTTTCTTCAAACAGCGGAACTTATTGGCTGCTTGTCGGCTGTCGCTCATCGGGAAGGGTGCGCTGATAGGATATTCTGGGAAAGGAGGCGGGATATTTTTGGCCTGTCGAAGCTGCTGTAAAAACGAAGACTCCACTTGATCCCCTGTTGAGATGTGCTGATTCCAGGATATTAGTATCAGCCACGATTTTAGTTTAAATGAATGGTTTGGATCAGGACAACCAGTCGAGATATAAGAGCACCCCGCGGCCCTGTAACCCAGGGCCTATAGCGTTTTCTCGAAGTGTATTACTATTGGAGATTTCCCTAGCCACTCCCGAAAACTTTCTCTCAATCATTTTTATGGAAGGCCTAGGATATAAGAGAACGAATAGTAAAAACAAAAGTTGGATAAGAAAGCCGGGCGGTGGTGGCACATGTCTTTAATCCCAGGAGGCAGAAACAGGCAGATCTCTGAGTTCCAGCCAGCCTGGTCTGTAGAGTGAGTTCCAAGACAGCCAGGGCTCACCCTGTCACAAGAAAAAAAAAAAAAAAAAAAAAAAAAAAAAAAAAAAAAAAAAAAAAAGCCAGCGGTCGCCTTTAATCCCAGCACTCCTGAGGCAGAAGCAGGTGGATCTCTGCGAGTTAGAGGCCAGCCTGGTCTACAGAATGAGTTCTAGGACAGTTTCCAAAGCTACACAGAGAAGCCCTGTCTTGAAAAATCAAACCAAAAATAGAAGGTCATGAAACTTTTTTGTTGACAGGTCTTGCTATGCAAACCAGGCTATCCCTTGACTTCTCAGCGATCTTACTCAACCTTCCAGTTGACTGCTAGATGGTAGGCATGTTCTACCAGGCCCCGGCTATCCTGAAACCCTGTGAGGAAATATCCACAGGGAATATTGGTGAGCAGACTGAGCCAAACATTAACTACCTACCTGCTAAGTGCCATTCACTTTATAGCCTTTATCTAATTTTAACATCATAGCAGGAATTTGAAACTAGAAAATAGAGTTTGTCATGGTCCTACTTAAGACTTAGAATCTAGGCCTGGTGGTGGTGGTGCACACTTTTAATCCCAGCACTCAAGAGGCAGAGGCTAGCGGATCTCTTTGAGTTCAAGGCCAACCTGGTCTACAGAGTGAGTTCCAGGATACCTAGAGCTGTTACATAGAGAAACTCTGTCTCAAGGAACAAAAATAATAAATAATTTTTAAAAAGCCTTAGAATCGGGGACTAGAGAGATGGCTCAACAGTTAAGAGCATTGGGTGTTCTTCCAGAGGACCAGGGTTCATTTCCTAGCACCCACATGGCAGCTCGCAATTGTAACTCCATTTTCAGGGAATCTGACACTTTCACACCAATGCACATAAAAAACAAAAAGCCCTAGACTCTAGCTGGGCATTGTGGTAGGCATCTTTAATCCCAGCAGTAGGAAGGCTGAAGCAGGTGGATCTCTAAACTCAAGGCCAACCTGTTCTACTCTACACTTCGAATTCCAGGCCAGCCAAAGTGATGTGATGAGAATCTATCCCAAAAAAAACAAAACAAGGCCAGGCAGTGGTGGAGCACACCTTTAATCCCAGCACTCTGGAGGTAGAGGCAGGCGGATCTCTGTGAGTTTGAGGCCAGCCTGCTGGACTACAAGAGCTAGTTCCAGGACAGGAACCAAAAAAAGCCATGGAAAAACCCTGTCTCGAAAATAAAAAAATAAAATAAAATAAAAAAACAACAAAAACCCCCAGAAAACCATTTGCTTGTGTATGCATATGTGTATATCAAGCTTTCTTGTTGGCCTATCTTTGGATCAACAACCCCCAAATAACAACACAAAGACTAACTATGAAAACTTAGGCTTTTTTCCCAACTAGCTCTCATAACTTAAATAAATCTGTATTTATTTATTCATTTTTTTGTTTATTATTTTGGTTTTTCGAGACAAGGTTTCTCCATGTAACATCCCTGACTGTCCTGGAACTTGTTGTATACCAGGCCTTTAATTTATTGAGATCTGCCTGCCTCTGCCTCTAGAGTGCTGGGATTAAAGGTGTGCACCACCACTACCTGACTTTAACCCATTTTTATTAATCTATTGCTTCTACATGGCTTGGTTACTTCTCCTTTGTACCACATGTCCGACTTCTTCAATGTCTTGCTGTCCTCTCTCATGCTCCTATACTCATCCCAAATTCTTCTCTGCCCAGAATTTCCTCCATTCATTCATTCTCTCCTTCCTAGCTATTGGTCATTTAGCTCTGTATTAAAACAATCACAGTGACACATCTTCACAAATATAAACAAATATTCCACAACATATATATGTATACATAGTTGGCCCTCCACATTGTTGAGTCCCACATTTGTGAGATCAATTAATCTCAAACTTAAAAAAAGAAAGAATGGCCGGGCGGTGGTGGCACATGCCTTTAATCCCAGCACTCGGGAGGCAGAGGCAGGCAGATCTGAGAGTTTCGAGGCCAGCCTGGTCTACAAGAGCTAGTTCCAGGTCAGGCACCAAAGCTACAGAGAAACCCTGTCTTGAAAAACCAAAAAGAAAAATAAAAAAATAAAAAATAAAATGAAAAAGGGTACTTGTCAAGATGTTTCAGTTGGTAAAGTGCTGTCCTGCAGGTAGGAGCTAAGTTCCATTCCTAGTAGATAGTAGTACACACTGGTGAACCAAGCACTGGGGCTGAGGAGATGAAGATAGTAGAATCCCCAATACACTATTGATGTAGCCTCAGGGCCTAGCAACAGGCCAAGTCTAAAAAAACATTTGGAGTACAAAGAGAGAACCTATCTCCAAAAACAACAGCAAGACACAGTTAGGACTGGGAATGTAACTCAGTAGCAAAGAACTTAGCATATGCAAGACCTTGGATTTGGTCCCCAGTACCATGAAAAAAAGAAAAAACAGTTTGGAAGCAAAATCATGTCTATATTAGCACACATATAGACTTTTATGTTCTTGTCATTACTCCCTAAACAATATAGTATAATAACTACTTGCATAGCATTTACATTGCATTAAGGATTATGGGTATTCTGGAGATGGTTTAAAGTGTCCTGGGGATATGCATAAATTATATGCAAATTCCTCTGTGCTTTCTTTTCTGGAATTCAATATTTAGACCAGGCTGGCTTCAAATTCACAGAGACTTCTTCCTCTGCCTCCTGAGTACTAGAATTAAAGACTTGTGCCGCCATGCCCCACCCTACACCATTGGGTTTCTCTGTGTAGCCCTGGCAGCCCTGAAACTCGTTCTATAGACCAACCTGGTCTCAAACTCACATAGATCCACCTGCCTCTGCCTCCCAATGCTGGGACCAAAGATTGTGCCACCACTGCCCCCATGACTCTGTCTTCCTTTTTAAAGCTTTTTACTTGGAACATATGAACACAATAGCATGCAGCAAGCTGTCCGTTGGGTGTGGCTTACAGACCAGGTGGCAGGGAGAAAGAAGTTAGTCTTAGCAACATAATAACCATAGCAGTAGCCTGAGAGATCTTCAGTGATTTTTACTTTGTATCATTATCGAGTTTGGTTGATGTAGCAACATTCTCTTCTCTAGTTCCTGTTGACCCCAAGGCCTTGCTTTTACTATTGCCCTGGAGTCCGGGGTGTAAGTTGGGGCTCAGGTCAAGAAACTCCTTGGGTGTGGAGTTGCCTGCGGCTGCCTGATTCACAGTGAGGTAAAGTAACATCAGGCACAGCTCCCTTCAGTAATTGTCAGAACAAAAATTGGCAAGCCTGTGAATGCCAGGGATGCCTGCCAGTCACTTCCTGTTTGTTGCTTTTTTTTTTTTCAAGGTGACGGCAAGGGCAGAGTTCACAAGGCTCACCTTGGCCCTCCTGGATAGAGAACTCCTTGTCAGTAGTGCCATCTGCAGGGCATTAAGGAATTTGCTAGGCATTTTCTGGGATTGGGAGTGGTAAATGCCGTCTCAGGCCAAAATATTCTTCCTGCCTTCCTCCATTAAATCTTTTACTGAGTATCTACCCTGGATCGCAGCATGGATTCTCCTTGAGGCTGAAAGGCCGATAGTCCCTCTGATCTCTTAACAGACGGGAGGACAAAAAGCTGTGCTATCATTTTTTTCAAGGCAGGGTTTCTCTGTGTTGCTTTGGAACCTGTCCTGGAACTTGCTTTGTAGACCAGCCTGGCCTTGAATTTACAGATAGGCCTGCCTCTGCCTCCTGAGTCCTGGGATTAAAGGTGTGCAGCACCAGCGCCCAGCAAGTCTTCCCATTTTAATAGTGACCTCATGAAGGTGAAGAATAATAAATCCTGAATGCATTTTAGCATTGTAGCTTTTGTTGTTGTTGTTTTGTTTAGCAAATATTGTGGCTAAGGAGATACTAAGTTTGATCCCCAGAATCCATGTTAGAAAGAAGGAACTATCTCCTACTTCTATGGTTACAGGGGCTAACAGGGCCCATCCCTATGACCAAGGCATTATGAAAATCTGTAGTGCAAACAAACAAATGAAGTTTACATTGACTAAATAAAGATCCTAAGATTGCCACGTGCTTGCCTGGAATCCTAGCATTTGGGAAGCTGAGTCAGGAGCATAGAGTTAAATGTCAGCCTGGGACACAGATGGAAACCTGTCTCA